ACTACTACTACACACACACACACACACACACACACACACACACACACACACACACACACACACACACACACACACACACACAGTACGTGCGTGTGCGCGTGTGCTGTATTACACACATGCATAAAAGCATTGGAAGATATCAAGTGACAAGTTGGATAGAGAGTACAAAGAAACGAGATGGGCTCGATCATGATGGGATGTTGCGCGTAGAATATGAAATATGACGTATCGTGTTATTGAACGATAACTGCAAGTTATTAGAGTCGATTGACGCGAGTAATTCGATGTAAGGAGCGCGTGAAGCGTCTCTCACCGTGTGCGTGCCGTGTACAAGGCTGTATCTGTAGCTCGGTTGTTACTCTCGCGATTGCGACGTTGCACGGTTGCGAGATCTCACGTACGTAAATTACTTCGTTAGAGATGCCGTTTGACAAATTTTGCTCTCAGATAGTATATAGTTGCGAGGCGCTCATCGACACTCGTGCTTTGATCGTGGACGTAATCGCGTAATAATTTGCTCAGTACATTCGACTTTGGCGCGCAGTTTACATCTCGTCTGACAATTGCTGATTCTAATAGTTTTGCGCTTCGTCAAGAGTACGTTATTGTTCAGGATTACGAGTGAATTACGAGTGGATAATCAATTGCATTATTCGCGGGAGTAAGTTGCATTGAATAATCCGATGATAAATTGCAAATAAGAATTTAATTTATATGAGAAGAATTTATATGTTATGTCGAATAAAATTTCAAATTTCCTTAGATGTAGATTTAAAATTTGCTCTTTGATACGTTTAAATATTTTTATACAATTTTTTCTCCTTTCTTTTGCTATCATTTAATTATCATCCAATTATTTTTTCTCCTTGTAGAAAAAAATTTATTTTAATTTTTTGTTATTGTCTGTATATCTGGTTTATTATGCGGAAAATAATTCAAGCGCGTATTATTAAACTCTTGATCCTCAATTTTATTATATTTACGGATTAGAAATTCTATTGTATATTCGCTCGTAGAAATATGCATATGCGTGAAAAATGTCATTTCTCTATCTTTTGTACAAATTGATCGGTGAGCGGACAGTGGAAATAGACAAATTTTAATTTCTCCTATTCAAAATCTGTTCGATATAATTATTAATTATTTATTAATTTTATTAAATATGTGCGCGTGTATGCATGTGTATGTATAGAATAAAATGGAAACAATTATCTCTTTGTCCTCCCTTTTTTTTTCCCCCTAATGCGAACGATATATACATATTATACTCATATTAATCCAATCATCTTATCCAATGCGCACCCGCGCGCGGATACGTAACATGTATATAATTATTTTCAGAGAAAATGCAAAGTGGCAGTAATTTGAATCAATTCAATGACGATGACTTTTTCAGTAGTGGACCATGTCCATCGTGCAGATTAGCTATCAATAAGGAAACCGGTAGACTCAAGTATGTATTCTATATAATTTGTTTTCTATATATTTTGATACAAATATTTTGTAGTTTTTTGCCAAGTGGCTGAACCTCTTGTAAATTTCAGATGGTGTCCTGGTGGAAATGAAACCTGGCGCTTCCGTATCAAACTAATGCTTCTTATACCCGCGATGTTGCTGCCGATTACCATAGTGTTTATCGCTTTGTCACGATTTCAAGCCACAACCGAAGCCTCCGAGTCGCGTGTCGTTTCTATTTACAAGATACAGGAACAGGATAAACAAAAAATCACTGACGTCTTTTGGCGTAAGTTCTAATGATTGAGTAATGGTCGTAATGGTTAGAGGAATGCTAACGATTAACAGTTCCCGTTATTGCGTGCGATCGAGGAACATACGTTCGATAAGCGGATATGACATCTATCGCCTCTAGCTATTGCTTTCATTCCGATGATAAAGAATTAAATCTATAATACGTATATGCTTGTCTGTCGCGCTACGGAGCAAAAGTATTCTAGCTTGGATCAACAAGAAAGTATAAAAAAAAATAGCATGTAAAACGTGTAAATTCTCGATAATGAGTCGATATGTATCGATTTCCTTGATCGCGCGTCATACAGATATAAAAAAATTTACATTACATTATCGTACGTGCATTCTGAAGTACGCTCTCTTCGAGAGAACTGATTCTATTTCTCTTCATATTTTATCGGTTATCAGCTGCTATCAGTCACAACGACGCAGAACACACAGCGGAAGGAACCGAAGAAGAGAACCGACTTTTGCTTCCCGATATGAAAACGAGTTATGTGCCCGTAGACACGTATTCTTCATTTCAATCGCGATCACGATCGCTTCACCGTCGCAAGAGAGACATCGACGGGGTACTTAATCTCCAGACAAATTCGAAGCAATCCCAAATTTGGTTCTCTCTGAGAGTTAAAGAATAACCTTTTCCTGTTTTTCTATATATTCCTTCTACCGTATTCTAGTCTTATCTCGTTCTTTCTTCTCTTCCTGTTCTATTCCCACATCCTTGAATTTGCAATCATTCCCACACATATGCCCACAAGCGGCGAGAAAATATCCCGAAGACGACACGATCCTTTTCAGGAGAATCACACGAGAGATGGATTCGAATTGGACGATCGAGCAACGTTCTCGTCTCGTGCACATGCCCGTTTAGCTAACGACAAACTGGCAGATTTTCTTTCGAGGGAAGACTCGGATGGAAAAAATAGTACGATGGAGAGAGTCTTTTCGGCTTCCGACAACGTAAAGCCGAACGTCGACAAAGTCAAGGTATACAAGCGCGCATCCGGAGTAATCCTGCCAATGATTAGGAAATTTATTAATGTTTTTGTCATTATCGGTGATTCTCTCTTACATTTATTAAAAACAAATTGTTCAAAGCGCCCAACTACAAATTCGCTCTTCCGCAACATTTTCTAGAGATAAAATCCATGACTAAAAAGGAAACCTATCATGATAAATGTTCCTTCTAAATGTTCCTCCATGTGCCATTTTGTATAATTGCTTTCGGAACAATTGTACAAAGCCAATTATAATCCGAAGAATTTGTACGTGTCCAAATGATTGATACGATTGAAGGATTCCCTCAATTGTGTCAATTAAATTTTCTATAGATGAAGAACGGTGAAAGCAACGACGCGCAAGAAGATAAGATTGAAGAAAATAATTTCTTGGGCGATTACTATCCGGAAGAAGAAATTGATGATATTCACGAAAGCAGTGGAACAAGGTGTAATTGTCGCTATTCCGGGTCAGTAATATCAATAATACTGGAAAATCTATGTTCGATATTTAAATTGGTTTACCTCCCCCCTCTCTCTCTCTCTCTGTGTGTGTGTGTGTGTGTGTGTATGCGCGCGCGCGTGTGTATGTGTTGAATCTTTAAATATTTTAAATATATACAAGATAATATACAAGATAATAACTCTCTCCTACAATTTTTCTAAATTCTAAATAATTTTGTAAATTTGTATATTTGTATATGTATTTGTATGCGGAGAATACATTCTTCGCATGAGGATATATTCAAGTTTTTTTTATTCGCAAAGTTTTTTAACGTCGGTAAGTTAAAATATTAATAATAATTTAATTTAATAATAATTTAATTTATGCTACATATTTATTATATTCTTTGTTTTAATTAATTAAAAACACATTATTTTCTTATATAATTTAAATTATATAAGAAAATAAATAGCAGAGAATAGTTTGTGATTTAAAATTTATCTTTTTCCTTTTTTTCCATTGGATTGAGATTCAAATATCAAAAACTTTGAAATAAAGAAAAGAAAAAAACGGGACTTGAGCGACGATTTTTTTCTTCAGAATATTTTCTACACATGAAAATATATAAATTTACAACATTACAGAAAAATCGGAGGAGAGAACATTATACTGCATATTTACTATATTTTAGAAAGACAGAAGAAGCGATGTCATTTGAATTCAGTGATAAATTCGCGACAGACATAAATATTGAAAAACGATCGAAGAAGGAATTGGCGAGAACCCAAAAAGAAGACTCGTTTTCTATTTCCATCAATGAAACGTGGCTATCGCTAGTTGAAGGACGTGATGCGATCGAGAATGATGAAATATCTGATCTTCGTACATTTTGGAAAGGCGAGGGAAATGCAAAGAGTATCAGAGAGGCCCGAGGTATATTATCGCGTTACGAGCAAATGATTTTTGCTCTTTGTTTTTTGGGATTCCTTATTGATGTGTCGAATAGAATAGAATAGAAAGTATATAACTTAAAAAAAAAAAAAAAAATACCACCGTTTACTTATAAAGCGACGTAACGAAAATATTAAAAGAGAATTTATTAAACATAGCTCAGATAATGCTGAGATATATGGATAAAAGCGTGGATCCGTGTGAAGATTTCTATCAATATGCTTGCGGCAATTGGGCGAAACGTAATCCTATTCCAAAAGACAAAGCTGGCTATGATACTTTTGAAATGCTCAGGGAATCGCTGGATTCTGTATTGAGAGAGTTATTAGAGGACCCGATATCAGGCGACGCCGATGAGATAAATGCCGACGATGCTACGGTAAAGGCGAAATATTTGTTTCAAAGTTGCATGAATCATGGTAAGTATGAATCTATCAGCGCAGTATGAATCTAAGCGCTGGTAGATCACATCAATATTTGTTCCAACTATTTTAATACGATAAAAACTTGTTCTAGATATTCTGAAGCAACGTATGGAACAACCACTAATTCGACTTCTGGATTATCTCGGTGGTTGGCCGATTCTGAGACCGGATTGGAATCCTGACAAATTCGATTGGCTTCTCTTGACCGCACAACTTCGATTGTACAATAATGACGTATTAATTTCGGAATGGGTGGGTCCAGATATTAAAAACAGCGACAAATACGTGATACAGGTAACAGTGCGACTCATTGTATCGTATCTTGCCTCGCCTTGCCTCTCCTCGTCTCGTCTCATCCGAATGGAGAAAGAGAAAAAGAAAGAAAAGTGGAAAATTACAATATTTTGTTTGCAGTTTGATCAAACGTCACTCGGGCTTCCTACAAGGGATTATTTTCTACAATCGTCTAACACGATTTATCTAGAAGCCTACAAGGATTACTTGATGAAAATCGCAATTCTACTCGGCGCATCCTTGGATAATGTGACTATTCAAGCCAAAGAGATGATTGAATTTGAAACGCAACTCGCTTCTGTACACATCATCATCATTTATCGCCTTTGTTTTGCATGGTTTTCGTTCATTCACTATTATTCATTAATTTTGAATTTTGTAGATTACATCATCACCGGACGAAAGACGAAATTTTTCGGAACTATATCAACGAATGAGCATTGGTGAATTAAGAACGCTTGTGCCGCAAATCGATTGGCGCCGTTACTTGTCGATCGTTTTGGCTCGACCGATAAATTTTTCCGAACCAGTTGTTGTCTTTGCGTTGCAATATATTCAAGATTTGGTTGTTTTACTTTCAAAGACGCAACCTAGGTACATTATAGATTTAAAATCAATTTCAGGATTTTTCTTCCTTCTTCCTATATATATCCTGTGTATACTCGTTACGAGCAATCCATTACTTTCGCAGAACAGTGGCGAATTATCTCTTGTGGAGATTTGTACGGCACAGAGTGAACAACTTGGATGATCGTTTCCAGGAGGTTAAACAGAAATTTTACTATATTTTATTTGGTAGAGAACAAGCACCGTCAAGATGGAAAAATTGCGTAACCCAAGTTAATTCTAACATGGGCATGGCCGTCGGATCGATGTTTGTTAGAAAGTATTTCGACGAAAACAGTAAAAACGATGTGAGCATTCTTTTTGAAAATGTATTCTTTTAATGATAGTACAATTTGTGCAAGTAAAGGAAAAAAAAAGAAATATAAGCGAAATATTTTTCATTAAATACGAAGCGGGAAAGATTAACATCAGTTTTGTTCCCCAACAGACATTATCTATGACTCGAGAGATACAGCGATCCTTTAGAGAGCTGCTTAACAAAACCAATTGGATTGACGACGAAACAAAATACTTGGCGACTGAGAAAGTGAACGCTATGTCACTGAGAATCGGTTATCCAGATTTCATCCTACAGCCACATCTACTGAATGAGCGTTATAAGGACGTAATGTATCTTTACTTTTACACACACACACACACACACACATACACACACGCACGCACGCGCGCGCGCGCGAGCATCCATTCTAGAACAGACTGCGATTTTATAGCGGACAAAAGTTTATTAATATAATCGACATTATCTTAATGCAGGTTGTAATTCGACCAAACGAGTACTTTGAAAATATTTTTAAATATTTTTACAACATTTTGACCAGAATTGAGCAAAATCGTCTTGGCAACACCGTCAATAAAACTTTGTGGAACACTGCCCCAGCGGTCGTCAATGCTTACTACAGTCGCAATAAAAATCAGATAAGTCAGTTCAAGTCAGTACCTCGTTTAAGAGGAAACATCCGCGCGTTTTCTCTTTTTTTTTTCGCGCAACTTGGCTTAAACTATTGATACTTCTGTCCGATACTTTCTTTTTGTCTTCCAGTGTTTCCAGCGGGCATACTACAGCCTCCTTTTTATCATAGATTTTTTCCACGAAGTTTAAATTACGGTGGAATTGGTGTTGTGATTGGACACGAGATTACTCATGGATTTGACGATAAAGGTAGACTGTTCGATAAGGACGGGAATCTTCATAGATGGTGGAAAGATGAAACGATCGATGGTTTTCATCGGCGAGCGCAGTGTCTCATCGGTATGAAAAGAGAAGATTCTCTTTAATCAATCGGCAAAAGAGGCAATATCGATCCACCGTTAATCGAATGTTCCTCTTCTTTCAATCTTCTCTTCGTAGATCAATACGCACGTTATACCGTGACGGAAGTTGGTATGCATATAGATGGCGTTAATACACAAGGCGAAAATATTGCTGATAATGGTGGCATTAAACAAGCATTTAGAGTATATCTATAGATCTTGCTCTTTGATTCAAAGCACAATTCTAAAAATTCTCTTTCATCGAAATTAAAAAGTTTACCATTTCTTTACAGGCGTACGAAAAATGGTTACGTTTAAACAAAGAGGAAGACGAGACTTTACCCGGAATAAGTGCGACGGACAAACAATTATTCTTCCTGAATTTTGCTCAAGTATGGTGCGGTTCGATGCGTCCCGAAGCAACGAGAAATAAACTGAAAACAGCTGTACATTCCCCTGGTAAGTTTCGCGTGATTGGCACTCTCTCCAATTCGAAGGATTTCGCTCAGGTGTTCAATTGTCCTCTTGGTTCCCCCATGAATCCTGCGAGCAAATGCTCAGTGTGGTAAAACACAAACATGTACAGTACAAGATCGTATCATATGTATATCGGTACGATTTATTAGGATCACAATGGCTCGTTTGTGATTGCGTACAGTTCACGCTCAAATGGATTCTTTAGTTAAGATTCTTAGCCAAGTTTCTTACAAATGTAAAAAATAATAGAGAAATATACACTTGGTTTTAACGCATACATTGCTTGGTACATTATCCTAAAATGTATAATGCTGAGAGATAGAGAGGATGGAATGGATAAAAGGAGAGAAAGAGAGAGACGGGAAGGAAGGAGGGAGTATTGCAGAATGTGAGATGTAGCAATATCATCAAATCTGCTTTTATTACCACGGTGATCTCTATGGTCATAATTTTATTATGTATAGCCGTTAT